TCGGCATCAGTGGATTTCGGCATCAGGGTGTTTTCCCACTTAGGTTTAAGACGCCTCTGTGCGCGCCGCTTTCGGGGTCGTGCCCTGAGATGAGAGCAAAAGGAGCTGCCGAATTGGAACATGCCACCGAACCCTGCGCTCCTTGTTGCCGTGGCCCCACCCACAAGCCGAAAGAGCGAAAGCCTCTACAGCCAAACCCAGATCCCGAAAGCTACAACATGTCCTAGACCATAAAGCAACGACATGTCCTAAACCATAAAGCCCTGCCTCTACACTTCTGCACCGGTGAGAGTCCAGCTCACAGGTCTACCACCACCTTAAGAAGGTCATCCAGGCCCGGATGTGGTTTATGCCTGTGGAGTTCGACTTGCAGGATTTCGAAGTTTTGTGCAGGATTTCGGGGTTAGGATGTTAGGGTTTAGCGTCTTAGGGTGTTTCGGGTTCGTTTACGGTGGGTTCCGTATGTTGAGGCTTCGGGGGAATAGGGTGCAGAGCTTTGAGCAAACCGGTTGCATTTCACACAGGCAGTCTCCTCTAGACCCTGAAAGACTAAACCCTAAGCCATGGTAATGTAGGGGCCTTATAATGATTAATTACCTATAGTATGTTGGGGGTTCCTTATTGTAATTCTAGTATAATGGGCCCCAAATACCTATTCCAACTATTAAGGCCCCTATATTCTGCCCTCAAGCCGTGCGTGCAGGCAGACCCGAAGCCCGAGCCTAGCACCCAGCAGAAAGGTAGAAGTAAATGTCAAGCATGGGGTTTAGGGTTGCAGCAATAATAGCGATGTAGTCACATATTAATCTACTATGGCCGGATGGAAGAGTATACTAGAAGCAGGACGCTGAAGCACGGCCAGTGTATAAACACAGTGTTTTAGACAACACTCTCGAACAGATAGTGGCTAGTGCATGCATGCCTGCGCAGACAAACAACTGTACATACTGCATGTGCACGTGTATTGTTATTCCTGCTATTACAAGTTCAACACGTATTCCGTGATGGATCATTGATCAAGTAGATACCACCCAGGAGAAGTATGGTCAAGATGCCACCAACGTCGGCGACGAAGGCCCGCGGATCCGGGTACATCTGGTGTAAGGGTGCATGGCCGGTTCCGAGTTGTGGGATCTGGCGTCGATGGTTTTGATCCGGGATCTGGGTATATTTACTTACTCACTCGCTACTGCTAGGCCCTCCATCTACCTTCTATTCGACCTTAAATGCCCGTCAACGAGCAAGACCGGGTTTAGGATTTACGATTCAGGAATCGGAGGTTGGAAGCTTATATAGATATAGGGACCGGTTTCATGAACTTTGGGAGCCGTGCTAATCTATGTTTCCACCTGTGGTTCACCCTTAACCAAACCCTAAACCCCATACCCAAAGTCCTACAGCGACCTGAAGACTCGCAAGGTGGCTTTGCTCCTAACGTCCTCGAGAGCGACGAAGCCCTGCAGGCAATATGATGATGCAAAGTCGAGCATGTGTTAGGGTCAGGGTTGTTTCAACGTGTATGCACAGATTGCATCTAGCGTATACATACGTATACGTATATGTGTATGTATATGTATAT